GTCAGTTTGGTCAGGCATGACTTGTCCCTGGTGAATCCATGCTGACTATTCCTAATGACCTTTTTCTCCTCCACGTGCTTCGAAATGGATACTCTGAGGACCTGTTCCATGATTTTTCCAAGGACTGAGGTGAGGATGACTGGTCTGTAGTTCCCTGGATCTTCCTTTTTCACTTTCTTAAATATGGGCACTATGTATGCCCTTTTCCAATCATCCAGGACCTCTTCTGATTGCTGTGAGTTTTCAAAGATTGTGGCCAATGGCTCTGCAGTCACATCAGCCAACTCCCTCAGCACCCTTGGGTGTATTGCATCTGGTCCCATGGACTTGCATGTGTCCAGCTTTTCTAAGTAGTCCCTAACTTGTTTTTTCACTACTAAGGACTGCTCACCACCTCCCCAAACTGTGCTGCCCAGTGCAGTAGTCTGAGAGCTGACCTTACCTGTGAAGACTGAGGCAAAAAAGGCACTGAGAACTTCAGTCCTTTTTGCATCCTCTGGCACAAGTTTGCCTCCCCCATTCAGTAAAGGTCCCACACTTTCCCTGATAGTCCTCTTGCTGCCGACATACTTGTAGAAACCCTTCTTGTTACCCTTCACATCTCTTACTAGCTGCAGCTCCAATTGCATTTTGGCCTTCCTGACTTCATCCCTGCATGCCCAAGCAATGCTCTTATATTCTTCCCTAGTTATTTGTCAGAATTTCCACTTATAAAATTCCTTTTTGTGATTTAGTTTACTGAAGAGTTCCCTGCTAAGCCAAACTGGTCTTTTGCCATACTTGCTAATCTTCCTGTGCAACAGGATGGTTTGTTCCTGCACTCTCAATCCTGATTACCTTACTTGTGCTCCCAAAGTGATATCAAACTGAAATCTCAGGGAGTGGCACCTTTCAAACACTTACAGGGAAAGTACTCTCTGGGTCATTGTTATGGTTTGAATCTTTTTTTTTTCTTAAGTAGTAGGAATAACGTTCCTGATCTAGGAGTTGGCTGACTGTGAATAATTCTTTCGGTTTGCAAAAGATTCTGTGCAATTAACTGTTCCCTATATACTGAATTGAATATTGTCCTTATTAAAGATTTTTACAGTGGATTGCTGTTACTAATCTCAAGACAATTTTCAACAGGGATTCCGTAATGCGTGTGAAAAGGGTCCTCTGACAGGTCACAAGATATCTGGAGTCCGGTTCATCTTAGATGATGGTGCACATCACATGGTGGATTCTAATGAATACTCTTTCATCAGAGCAGGGGAAGGTGCACTCAAACAAGGTATGAATCAATCAGCTTGAAGATGTTCTGTTTAACATATAGTAGATTCATAGTTTAACTTGGTTTGAACAATTTCATTTTTGTGCCCATTATTTGTTTGCTTATTTATAATTTTCCAACAAAAGGTAACTAGCCAAATGTAATCTGTGTGCAGTAGCAGACAGACAAGGTTCACAGAAATTTATAAGAATATGGCTTAACTTGTAGATCTGTGGAAAGGAGATGGTAGATTTTTTGTTTAAATCTTAATAGAAGCTACCTGCTCCCAAATCTTTGACACCTATAACATTTGGGAAAGCCTGATCAAATGTCATTATTGTCCTCCAGATAGATGCTAGCATGGAACAGATTATTTTAGTGATGTAAGGACTAAATGTTGATATTTTGGAAGTTCTTGTTTCATCTGGAAATAGTCTTTCTCAGAAATACAGAATTAAAGAACAGGCAGGAAATTGCTCAAGGCTCCTTTATTAGACCCTACCATATGTTCAGATACAGTTTGCACTTTTCCAGCAAAATGATGGAAGTGAAATAAAAATCTGTTTCAGTATTTTTGCCTTTTAAATGCATGCTGATTTGTCCATTGGGTTTTATATGCAGCACTAACAAAATTAGATTATACATTCGTATTTAAAAGACCATATGCTCCAATACTGCTGTAGTAACCTTAATCCTAGTCTTCCCCTTGTATAAATTTTAGCAGTGAGCATACCTAACAGATCAGCTAGGCCTGGGGATTGACTCCTTTTGAGAAGCTGGTAAAGAATTCCATCTTGAAGCCGGTTTTCCACCCACATTGAGATGCTGTTAACTTTTCACTAACATATGAGTGAAAAGAAATAATAAAACGTGTATCATAGGAACTTGCCCTCATCGTTCAGATCAGAAGTCTGCTACTACATTTGATTAATTGAGCTGTGTCAAGAAAGGCACTGGTGTCCATAGTCAAATCTGTACTTCCTCAGGATTGAAGGATTTTATATTTTTATTGAAGAAGTTCTAAATTACACTGTCAGATATTTTCTGACTTCAACCTGAACAGCAAAGAGAATTCTTCAAGGAAGTTGAGTTTTTCAAAATTTCTGGGGGAATACTTGGCTGAACCTAACATAGATTCAGGCCACTTAGAAGAGAAATACCACAAGAAATATACTTTCCAGTTAAGAGCAACTTGGTTAAACTATTCTGAAAATCTACACACCAGAATTCTGTTGACTGCCCCTTCCTCTAATGATGATTGTTTGCTTTTCACTTCTGCCTGTGGTCAAAGAACTTTGAAGTCAGTGGATCACTTTGATTTTAGCAGGCTTTATGCCGAGTTCTTTGGGTTAGCTGCTGAAAAGAAAGTTGCAAGATGGAATTAGGCAATTTTTGAAGAATGCTTAATATGAGTAGCTTGGGAGGTATAAGAATGCAAATATTCTAATCCGTCTTCATTTTTAACCAGCTATGGAAAATGCAACAGTGCGTGTTCTTGAGCCCATTATGTCCGTGGAAATTGTAGCACCAAATGAATTCCAAGGAGCTGTGGTTGCTGGAATTAATCGCCGTCATGGAGTGATCACCGGACAAGATGGCGTAGAGGACTATTTTACTTTGTATGCTGATGTATGTGCTGTTGAGTTTTTCTGAACCTTTCCCCTTTCAGTCAGATTATTTTATTTTAATATTTAGGCAATTATGTACTAGCTGTTAAATCTCTGTCTGCCTCTCTTTTTTATTTTACTAGTATTTGCATAGTTGCAGCGAAGCTAAACATATGCAAAGGATATGCATGACACCATGAAACAAGTTACAGGTCACCACATGGTAGTGTTTGGCATAGAACACACACATTAAATTCTTTTTGAAGAAAAAGGATTTTTTCTGCCCCTGCTGTTTACAAAAGATCTTTCAGCAATGGAAAGATTCCCTGACCATACAGGGAAACCAGATATACCCAAGGGCTGAAGGAGGCACAAAATAAGCTAATCTAAGTAGCTAAAAAATATTTCTTCTATCTTCTTTTTGTTCAAGTAACCTGAAGTATTACAGTAATGTTTGTAGATACAGCAACAGCCTTTTTAAAATGTATTACTTTTTGCTGGGCCCAATTAAAAGTGTTTCTAAGAGTTCTGGGCAGCTAAAATAATGCAGCATAACTCCCTACTTCTGGCAAGCCAGTTGTAAATTTTCATGGCCTCCCCCAAAGTTCTCTGAAAACTATTTTAACAGCCACTCAATATCCCTTTATCTCCCCACTCATTGCTTTGTCTTCATTAGGAAAAAATGCATTGCTGACAGGGTGTCAGTAATGCATGCAGCTGAATCATTACAGAACATGGTTTAACTGCAAGTTGAGCCAAGGATGAATTATGTGAATAGCTCTTTCAGAAACTGTGCTTAAAACTTGCAGCTCTGAGGTGTTTCCAACACTGGAAACTCTTGTTCGATATAGTGCAAATTCTTGATGTTGGCCTGCTAAATGTGTTGAAGATGCTCCAATATTGAGAGTCAGAGATGCTCCAATTAGGAATATCCTCATGCTCCAATATTGAGAATATTTATCCTATTGTAGATAAATAATGAAAATGTCTTTAAAATAAACCTCCTTTATAAAAGCAGATGATAAAATCAATCCTAAATACAAAACATAACTTTAAAAGTGTTACTAACTGGTTCTAGTAAAGATTAGTTGAATCTGAATGCCAGATAACATTGAAAAATACCTTAGTCCTACAAAAATAATGTGTATTATATGTTTGATTATTAGGTGCCACTGAATGATATGTTTGGATATGCCACTGAACTGAGATCCTGCACAGAGGTTAGTCAGCAGATAAACTTTGGCTACTTTAACAAAATTTATAACAGATTTACAAAAATAAGCACATCTATATATTTGCCAGTGGGCTGTATTTCTGATTGAAGGTTTGAAGTCAGAATCTAGTAGATGAGTAGAGTATAAATAATGTAATGAGATTGATAATAATGATGTAGCAAGAGCTGAATTACTTCATTATAAATGTTTACAGCATCCAAAACACATTAGACATTCCTCAGGAAAAAAATAGGGTGGCAAATTGGCTAGAGGGTCGTACACAGAGAGTGGTAGTAGATGGGTCAGTATCGACCTGGAAGGGAGTGGGCAGTGGGGTCCCGCAGGGCTCGGTCCTTGGATCGATACTCTTCAATGTCCTCTTCATCAGTGACTTGGAAGAGGGAGTGAAGTGTACTTTGTCCAAGTTTGTGGATGATACAAAACTGTGAAGAGAAATGGACACACTGGAGGGCAGGGAACAACTATAAGCAGACCTAGACAGGTTGGACAAATGGGCAGAAAACAATAGAATGCAATTTAACAGGGAGAAATGCAAAGTGCTGCATCTAGGGAGGAAAAATGTCCAGCACATCTACTGCCTAGGAAATGACCTGCTCGGTAGCACGGAAGTGGAAAGGGATCTTGAAGTCCTAGTGGACTCCAAGATGAACATGAGTCGTCAGTGTGATGAAGTCA